TGGAGGTGGGAGGATGGGGTGGGGGAGACAGACATGGGGGTGGGAGGATGTGGGGTAGACAGATGGGGGGACCAAGCCCAGGCCGAGGGTCAGGGTGTGCAGGAGGAAGGGTTCCAGGAAGTACTTCCGCTAAGGTAGCCCTTGTTAGGAAATGTCCCCCGTCCTCCCACCCCACCCCCGCTACACCTAGATTGTGGAGAAACCAATAATTTATTACGCTAAGTTCGTCCTCAACAGCGCCCGAGACGGATTGAACTGAACCTTCCTGCTGCTTCTGCGAAACTGCGGCCTGGCTCGGCGCCCGCTCACCTTCAGCACCAAGACCTCGAGCATCTTCGCGGCACCCGGGGCTGCCCGGGTCCCCTCGCCCGGGAAGGCGCGCCCCGTGCCGCCGGCCCTTCGCGCAGACGTCGGCGCCTCGGTCGTCCGCGCCCCGTCCGCCCACGCTGACCCTCAGGTCCCCCCGACAGGCCCGGTCCGTCCCGCCACAGCCGAGGCGACGCGCTCAGTCCTCTAACTCGACGCCGCCACCGCCGCGGGCGCTCTCGGGCCTCCCGCACCGCACCCCGGGCAGCCAACCCGCGCCAGCGCCGCAACGGCCCTCCGAGGCTCTCCCGCGCAGGCCTCGAGCGGCGAGAGACCGCGTGGGGCGCCCAACGGCCGGACACGACGCGACCTCACGGCGTCGGGGCGGGGCGAGGGGCGGGGCGGCGTCGAGGGGGCGGGGCGGCGCCGAGGCTGAGTGAGGAGGAGCGAGCAGAGACAGGTGAGCTCAACCCCCACCGACCCTGCTGGGGTGCTCAGGGCCTGCAGACCTTGGCGGGCAGGGGAGCTGCCCGCCTGTAGATGGGACTCGGGACTCCGCTGTCCACTGCCTCGTGGGTCCGGAGGGATAGAGGGACCTGCCAGGAGGCCCTTTCCTTCCGAATCCCTCTGGGCCAGCCTGCACCCCTTGGGCAGTAGGAGGAAAATGCGGGTCGGCCACTGATCCCCTGGGCCTTCGTGACCTCCCGGCAACATCCCCACCAGACCTGCGCCTTCTGGAAAGGTTCCTGGTTCTGGCTTTTTTCCTCTATGACAGGCATTTTTGTCACCACCAAAGGGCGCAAACTGCAGCCTCATGGACTGGGTGCTGCCTGGACCAGTTTTGTTTTTAGGTAGTTCAGGGCTCTTTGAACACTTTTAAGCTCTGATTCTCATCTAAAAAATTGGGCCTCGCACAGTGATTCCCAGAATTAGGTAGATGACATTACGTTGGGTGAAACGAAGGACACCCCCAAAGCATGGGGGAAAGTTAGCTTTAGTACTAGCTCAGGAATCTCGCTCCAAGGCAGGAAGAAGTCAACAAACCGGAAGAAAGGGAAATGATATTCCTTAAAAATTAAAAGAACCATGGCTAAGAAAGAAAAAAGTGCTGGGCCTAGAAGGTTTTGTTTACAGCAGAATTCTTTAATATTTCAATTGTGAAGAAACATTTTCTTAAACTCATCTTAAATGTGTAAGGGAACCAATAAGAGGGCAAGCGATTGCGCCCGAGACCGTGTGGGAAATGTGGAGTTACGTATTTGGAGAACAGAATGTTCCAGTAAGCACCCACTTTTAAAACCAAGCTTGGCTGGGTGTGGCGGCTCACACCTGTAATCCCAGCACTCTGGGAGGCCAAGGCAGGTGGATTGCTTGAGATCAGGGGTTGGAGGCCAGCCTGAACAAGAATGAGACACCATCTCTACTAAAAATGAAAACTGAGGCAAGAGGATCGCTTGAGCCCAAGAGTTTGACATTTCTGTGAGCTAGGATGCCATGACACTCTACCAAGGGTGACAAAGTGAGACTATCTAAAACAAACAAACAAAAAAAACAAGCTTGACTTCACAAGGTCCCACAATCACGTGTTTCAAAGTCTCAGCCTGCATGAAGAGGAAAGGAGTATGAACACAGCTGCAAAGGGCATGAAGTTCACCTGTTGCTGAACTTGGGCTAATGAGTCTTCACCCCCAATCAAGGCACCAGGCAAGCCCAACTCACCTAAAGCTAGAAACCTTGTCAAAAAGAGGTGAAAAACAACAGGATCTGATTTAAACAGGCCCATGCCTATAGTTCCAGCTACTCCAGAGGCTGAGATGGGAGGCTCTCTTAAGCCCAGCCTGGGCAACGTAGCAAGACCCCATCTTGAATAGGTGGCACCAGAGACAGTTCCCAAGCACTGAAGGAAATGGAGAATACAGCCTTCTCCCAGTTCTTAGTGTAGGGACAGACTTCTTTTCTTTGAATAGATAGATGCCATGCTGTGGTGTGGGGTTTCCCACACTTTTTCACAACATGGCTTATGGAAAATGGAGATACAGGAGAACCTCTGTAAGTTGACCACTCAAGGGACTGCAGCAAACTGGTCACCACCATAAGGAACTGCACTGATGCATACATGTGGTGCATGTCCGGTCTGTGAAAATTAGGTCAAGTTAAAGAGGGGGCCAATGTAGGGGGTGGCCAGCTATGGTGTATGTATTTATACCCCGTACTGGGATGAATAGTTAAGTCTTCTGTGATGGGAGCTCACTGCTCTGGGGCTCCAGCCATCAGCCCCCCCGAAGCTAAAAGGGATCAGTATCTGTACTGTCACCTTCCCCCCAACCCTGACACCAGTGAGAATTATTTTTCTTCTTTAAAAGAAATTACTCTAACAAGCTGGACTTGGTGGCTCAGGCCTTAATCCCAGCACTCCAGAGGCCGAGGCAGGTGGATTGCCTGAGCCCAGAGCAAGATGACATCTCTAAAAATAGCCAGGCGTTGTGGTGGGCGCCTGTAGTCCCAGCTACTTGGGAGGCTGAGGCAAGAGAATTGCTTGAGCCCAAGAGTTTGAAGTTGCTGTGAGCTGTGATGCCACAGCACTCTACCCAGGGCAACAAAGTGAAACTGTTTCAAAAGGGAAAAAAAGAAAGAAAGAAAGAAAGAAATTACTCTGTAACCTAAAATGAAAAGACTTCCAGTGCATTTTTATGAGGCAGTTAAATCCCGGCGCTAAAATCTGACAAAGATAACACGGAGAACTGTAGATTAATTTCTCTTACAAGTATAGGTCTGAAATCCCAAATAAAATGCTACCACGTAAACGCTGGGACTAATTAAAAGTGAAGTCATAGCCAAGTAGGCTTTAAGGCTTACTGAGGAATGGAGAAACGCTTACTACTGGCCTGTCACAAACATGGCCAGATCACAGCACAGTAAGGGACAAGAACCTGTTCCTGACACTGCCATGGCTCATCCAGGCACCCCTGGGTGACCAGATACTGTTAGGAAATTAAAGTCTGTCCCATCATGGGAATAATATTCAGTTCCTCAAGGGGTCTGGTAGACGGTGTTCTGTTCTTATATATATATTTTTGGGCTCCCCACTCCAAGAGAAGGAGAAAAGGGTGAGAAGACAAAGCATTAGGAATGGTAAGGAGAGACATCTGAGACAGTAGGACCTCCAGTCCTGCTCCGGCCTCTTCACCTGTCAGTGTGCCCATGGCAGAGGTAGGGAGTGGGGAAGAGTATCGAGCTGCTGATACAAGTTTTCCAAAACTGGCATAATTCTGTTTGTGGGTTTTTGGTCATGCTGTCACCCAGGCTAGAGTGCTGTCATGTCACAGCTCGCAACAACCTCAAACTCTTGGGCTCAAGAGATTGATCCTCCTGCCTCAGCCTCCCTAGTAGCTGGGACTACAGGTGCCTGCCACAATGCCTGACTCCTTGTTCTATTTTTAGTAGAAACATGGATCTTGCTCTTGCTCAGGCTTGTCTCAAACTCCTGAGCTGCTAGAGGGTTAGGATTACAAGTATTTGGCAGAACTGGCATAATTCTTAGACTTGGGCACGAGGTGCCAGGTGCAGTGGCACATGCCTGCAATCCCAGCACTTTGGGAGGCTGAGGCAGGAAGATCACTTGAGGCCAGGAGTTTGAGACCAGACTGGGCAACGTAGCAAAGCATTATTGCTATAAAAAAACTAAAAATTAGCCAGGAGTGACGGTACATGGTCTGAAGCAGGAGGACAGCTTAAGCCCAGGAGTTCAAGGCTACAGTGAGTTGTGATCCTGCCACTGCACCCTAACCTGGGTGATAGAGGGAGACTCCATCAAGGAAGGAAGGGAGGGAGGGAGGGAGGGAGAGGAGAGAAAGAAATGGAGACCAAGGACTTTCTCCCTTCTCTCCCTCTCAGATTCTTCCTCCCCCAATATATTCAAGTGGTCATACCTTGAAATCAGCTGTTTTAAAAGGCAGTCTGCAAGTATCCAGTTTTTTAATATTCTCATTATCCTTCCAAAAAAAAAAAAAAGGATAAAAAACAAGTTCAGCCTCAAAGCTGGCTTGAACATTTGCCAGTTGATTTTCTTTGAGAAGAACTTTTTTAGTTTTGTTCTTTATTTGTTTTGTGTAAGTTGAGAGAGAGTAGCAACTGGGCACTGAACTCAACAGCAGAAGCCTGCTGCCTGTGTTCAGACACCTTCGTTATCTTTTTGGGAATTGGTCTGTCCATCAGAGAACACCTGGGTTCCCACTGAGATCATACACCTGTCAGATAATCCTCATGTTTCTTTCTCTTTGTTTCAGACTGCAAATCCACTCATGCAATCCCCTTATGTTTCCAGTGTATTATTTTCATAGCTCGAGAACATTCACTGCAAGAATATTCTCCTATCTTCAATTTTGAACTATAAATTATCGACTCAAATTAACCTTTATCTCACTGCTTTATATGTTGAATTCTATTTCATAGAATAAATACTAAACTCTTCTTGCTTTCTGTTTCCCTCCTTTTATTTCTTAGCCTTTTAGCAGAATTGTAGGAATTATAACCCATTTACAATTAGGTTTTAAAACATTTGATCTGAGAGTCTTACTGTTTTCTCTTTTTGAATTATTTTCCAGCTAAGGTTGGTTGAATCCACAGAGTCTGCAAATATGGAGGGCTGGCTATATGGGGATCACTTCGGGAGAACTTTCGATATAATCAAAATCGTTCATTTGTGAGGCACGTGAGAGCAAAAGGAGACAGGATTTCAAATATCCAACTGTCTGCAGTTTGTGATTGGCATAAGGAAGCATCTAAAAGAAATTCAGGGTCGGGCATGGTGGCTCATGCCTTGTAATCCCAGCACTCTGGGAGGCCAAGGCGGGTGGATTGCTTGAGCTCAGGAGTTGGGAGACCAGCCTGAGCAAGAGCGAGAGTTTGAGGTTACTGTGAGCTTTGATGCCACAGCACTCTACCCAGGGCAACAGACTCTGTCTCAAAAATTAAATAAAAGTAATTCAGATTCCAAAATTGTTTCCTGAAGAAAATTCTTGGCCAATGCAAAAGAAAATGTGAAAAACATCCAATTCCCTTTGTGATACTCTCAAACCACAAGACGAACATAACAGTTTTATCCTACCATACTCCATACCTCCATCTCCCTCTGCTTCTGTCTTTCCTTCCAGGATTCTCCCCTCCCCTCCTGTCTTCTAAAGCTCAATTAACCATTAAAATTAACTCAAATTTCCCCATAGAACAGAGGAAACCTCTGTAGGAACCAAAAGAAAACTTGCCCTTCGTCCTTGGAAGGTTTGCTAAAAGTCAGATGGCAAAAGGCAGATTAAAGAAAAGGTGCAGGGTGGCGCCTGTGGCTCGGAGGAGTGGGCACTGGCCCCATATGCCAGAGGTGGTGGGTTCAAAACCAGCCCTGGCCAAAAACTGCAAAAAAAAAAAAAAAAAGGGGGGGGTGCAGGAAAGAAGGAAGGATGAGAGGGAGGGAATTCACGAACTCATCCTAGAAAAGGGAGAAAGTGCTACGTAGCTCTGGTCACGTTTGGATTACTCCCCTGGGAAAGCTGTGAACTGATGCCAGCGCCTAGTCCACCCTTCAAAGGACTTTTTCTAGGATGAGTTTGCAAACTTCATTGTCCGACCTCGTACCAACTTATGAACGTGTATGGGGGAGAGCCAGGGTGCCCCTAATCTGAGGTTCTTTGTCCTATAATAGATTTAGCCCATTTTGTATATGGTCGTGGTTGATATCTATTCCTACTTCAGCTGTTTTATTCTAAGTGTTTGGCTTTTTGTTTCCTTGCTACCTCCCTTGTTTTCTAGCTTTTGCGTTAGCAGTTATGCTTCTTTTTGATTGATTTGAAAAGTGACCATTCTATTTTTTTTTTTTTTGAAGCAGAGTTTATGTCACCCTCAGTAGAGTGTCATGGCATCATAGCTCACAGCGACCTCAAACTCTTGGGCTTAAGTGATTCTTTAGCCTCAGCCACCAGAGTAACTGGGACTACAGGCACCTGCCACAACACCTGGCTACTTTTTTTATGCAGTTGTCATTGTTGTTTAGCAGGCCCCAGCTGGGTTCAAATCCACCTGCCTCAGTGTATGTGGCTGGAGCCCTAACTACTGAGCCCAGGTGCCACGTCAAGTGATTGTTCTATTTTTAATTCTACTAACTACTTCTGCATTTAAAAATACTTCATCAGATATTTCTCTATTATCACCTACAGTTGTGGACTCTGCCCTCTCATCCTCTTTCTTATCCCTCCCGTAGACATTCTCGTTTTGACAGTATGTCTAGGATTATTGTTTTTATGAAAAAGGGGGGTTCATTATTTTTCAAAATTGGTTTAAATATGAATTATTTTTAACATCTGCAGTGCTTTTCAGCCATTTTTAGAGTAATTATTCAGACTTACTTCTTATATTTAATTGATTTCCACAATTCACCATCTGGACTTTTTTTTTTTTGAGACAGAGTCTCACTCTGTCATCCTGGATAGAGTGCAGTGACATCATAACTCACAGCAACCTCCAACTCGTGGGCTCAAGCAATCCTCTTGCTTTAGCCTCTCAAGTAGCTAGAACTACAGGCGTTTGCCACAACACCTGGCTAGTTTTTCTATTTTTAGTAGAGATGAGTCTCACTCTTACTCTGGCTGGTCTTAAACTCTTCAGTTCAAGCTTAAGAGTTAATCCTCCCCCCTCAGCCTCCCAGAGTGCTGGGATTATAGTCATGAGCCACCTCACCTGGCATCACCATGGGGACTTCTACCGTGCACTACTACTTCACAATTTTTGATAAATCTTTCAGTCATCTCTGGTATTTCTATCAGGGAATTTCTTCAGAGAGTGTGGACTCCTCAGAGCTCATGGAGAAGAGAGAATGATTTCCACAGCTTCCACATATGATCGGTACCTGTATGCTCTGTCCAGTGTATCCTGTTACTCTGTGACACACACTCAGAAACCTGATTTTGCACCTTCATAATTTTTGACTTTTCTTCCTGCAAATCTGTGGCATTCCTTATTTTTGAAATTCAAAATGTCATCCGGGTGTTATACAATTTTTGTTAATTTTGCTTTGACACGCACGACAGGGCCTTTTTGCCAGATCAACACTTTCCTTCAGCTCAAGAAAACTTTATTCTCTTCTCCAAATAATGTGTTTCCATTTGTTCTGGAATTTACCTTTAGACCTGTTACCTGTGGGATGTCATCCTCTACATTGAATGTGTTTTTCTTAGGCTATAGAAGCAAAGAGACTCAAGAATAAAAGATTGTTCAGAGTTCCAGATTTGCCTCAAAGCAAAGGGAACCGCAAAAGGTTCTGAGGCGAGAAAGAGCTTTGCACAGTGGACAAACCAGACGATGACCTTTCTGCTGGGAGTGCAGATGGAAAGGGTGGGGGAGGAGGTCAGAGGGAATAGCATGGCCTTGCAGAGTTTAGGCTGTGTGAAGAAAAGCCACAGTGCCAGCCCCCCAAATGACTAAGACTTCTAACTTGAATAAGTGGTGTATTTCTGATATAAGGAAGACTGTGCTGAGGCAGACTGCTCCAGGGAAAAGTAATAGGTTAGGGAAGGGGCTGGACTGTTGTTAACAGATACAAAAATACAGTAGCTTACATAAAGTAGAAATAGATTTTCTTTCATGTAAAAGCAGGAAGTGAGCAGCCCAGAGCAGGCAGGCACCTGTCCCTTAACACTCAGCTTCTGTCCCAAGGCAGCTGCTCCAGTTGTCACCATTTCTAGCCGGAGAGAAGGGAAAAGAGAAAGTGGAGGGCAAGCAATTTCCTTCCTAAAAGACAGGACTTAGGGCGGCACCTGTGGCTCAAAGGAGTAGGGTGCCAGCCCCATATGCCAGAGGTGGTGGGTTCAAGCCCAGCCCTGGCCAAAAACTGCAAAAAAAAAAAAAAAAAGACAAGACCTAGAAGTCACTTCACCTGAGGAGAGAAGTGGGTCTAAGAACAAGGATTGAGGGACTCTAACATCTATAGGTTAGAGGAGAAGAAACTAAGAGGACTAGTGGCTAAGGGGGTGAGGAGAGTGAGAAACTGTCCAGGGTTGCAGAGAGGTTGCAAAAATAAAGAGGGCTCGGCGCCTGGAGCACAGTGGTTACGGCGCCAGCCACAGACACCGAAGTTGGCAGGTTTGAACCTGGCCCTGGCCAGCTAACCAACAATGACAACTGCAACAAACAAATATCTGGGCATTGTGGCAAGCACCTGTAGTCCCAGCTACTTGGGAGGCTGAGGCAAGAGAATCACTTGAGGCCAAGACCTGGAGGTTGCTGTGAGCTGTGATGCCACAGCGCTCAGTACTGAGGCCGACAAACTGAAACTCTGTCTCTAAACAAAACAAAACAAACAAACCCCCCAAAACCTGTGAGCAAGATGTGTTAGCCTAAAATATCAAATATCCAGCCTCATTCTGGATGCTAATGAAGGTCATCCAAAAGAATTAGCCAAAAAAAGGGAGGCAATGAAAATATATACTTAGTATTGACTCCTGAGTGTGTAATGCAGTTTCAAGAAATGGATGGCATTATAGAAAACAAATGTCCCTGGCTGAGCCCTGGATGAGACAGCATGGAGTAAAGATACCAGAACAGAAGGTGACAGGTAGGGTCAAATAGCGTCGGACTCAGCGCCTGTCACTCAGTGGTTAAGGCACCAGCCACATACACCAGGGCTGCCAGGTTCAAACCCAGGTAGGCCTGCTAAAACAATGACAACTGCAACCAAAAAATAGCCAGATATTGTGGCAGATAGCTGTAGTCCCAGGTACTTGGGAAGCTGAGGCAAGAGAATTGCTTAAGCCCAGGAGTTTGAGGTTGCTGTGAGCTGTGGTGCCATGGCACTCTACCCAGGGTGACAAGTGAGACTCTGTCTCCAAAAAAAAAGGAAAAAAAAATCAGCTTTCTGCTTCTGTAGCTGAGTCCCAGTCAGCCTGAATACATTAGGTAAGAAAGAGTATGACAAATGCCATAATTCTGGCTGGGTTCTAAAACAACATAGCCTTCCAGCTCCTGAGGTCAGGCCTGTCAATTGGGCTGGTGGGCGAGATATCACCTTTCACCATAAGTAGGAAGTCACAGAACAATCACCCAAAAGGAATTCTTGGAAGGAGTCAAGTTTCAGTCAGATTAAAAACAACAAAACTATCTTTTTGATGAAGAAAAACCAGTGGTATCATTTATTCACAACATCTAATACCATCCACCAAGGTGCAGGAGCTCCACTGAAGAGGCCACAGGACTAGGAGCAAGTTCTACTCTTGGTTGTGAGGCTAACTGGCTGCAGAACCTGTTTCCTGCTGGCACCATCATGCCCTTCACCTTTCCAGCTGTACGGAGCATTCCTGTATTCTGTGCGAATGAAACAGCATCATGCCTAAGGCCAAAAGCTGGATTGAGTGATAACAGTATCTGTGGCTCCCCAAATTTACATATTGGAAACGTTTGCTGAAAAAAACAAAATAAAGAGACTTTAGATCAGGTTTCTCACCCTTGGTCTTGCGCTGCCGCCCTGGCCTCTCCCCACTAGATGGCAGTGGTGTCCTTCCCTCAGTTGGGACAACCAGAAGTGTTTCCAGAAGTAGCAAAATGCCCCTGAGGGCAAAAAGTGCTGCGCTGAGAACCACTGCTTCAAATATTTTCCTCTAACCAGGATTAAATAATACATACAAGCTTTATTTGTCACTGCCTTTATTTTGTAGGTAGAAAACTAATAAGACATTTCATGAAAAATGAAATCCACTGTACATTGCAGAACTGAGTCAAAGACCTTGAAATATAATTAGTATCCTAACTCTCATTTCCCACCTTTAGTCAATAAACATTTCATCTCAAAGTAGGTAAAACAATTGCTAATATTAGGCCAGTAGTGGTGGCTCACACCTATAATCCTAGCACTCAGGGAGGCAGGGCCGGGTAGAGGCCCCAACTGAGACCAGCATGAGCAATAGCGAGACCTGTCGCTACCAAAAATAAAAAATAACTGCATTGTGGCAGGTGTCTGTAGTCCCAGCTACTTGCAAGGCTGAGACAGGAGGATCACTTGAGCCCAGGAGTTTGAAATTACTCATATTAAGCGCATGGACTCATACAAACAGCACTAATTATGACCTCTCTCTAAACTCTTTTCATTCATTAACACCCTGGAGTAAAAATAATGACGACTTTACTATGGCTTCATTACTTCTTAGACGTCACTGAAAGGTTGTCTCACTCCACTGTTCACTATCTCATCAGACATCCTTAACTGAGTTATAGCAGAAAGTCTACGGGATTCATGGATCAACCTCTAGAGAGCTGTTAGAACAATGGCAGTGGAACATCTTATTTAAAATTTTGACATAACATTATAGACGTGGAGACCCTTGTGAATTTTTTTTCTTGTTTTGGCAACAAAATCACGTATACTATTTTATAAGCTTTATACTTGTGGCATACTGTAAGGTTTAATAAAAGAAACCAGAGAGCTCTGTAATACACCTGAAATTAAAAAAAACACTGCATTACAGCTTTACAGGCAGAGAGTTCTTAAGAAGCTCAGCTGACCCTTGTTCTTCATGAGGACTCCTTCAAGCGGGCAGCTTTCGATCACGCAGCACCCTATAGACGGCTCTTAGTCGCTACATAGTTCTGAGGATAAACGTGTTTACACTTGGACTGGACCGTCACGTGGATGTCATAAAGGTGGCGGTCGTACAGCACTATGCGGTGGAATGTCTCTCCTTCCTTCATGATTTCTTCAGTCGTTTTTTCAGTAGACAAAAATTTTTCTAAAAAGGTTGAATCTTCTAAGTACAGCTCATCACCTGAAGAAGACAAAATGTTAATTCCATTAAATTATTACTTTATGGATCATTCCACAGTAGCAGTGAAATACAAATAGTACTTATTTTTAATCTATTTCATGTGTTTGGAACTGAGATAAATTGTTAAATAACCCTAATTTTATTAATTTACATTAATGTGTAATATTCTCCCAATTCCCCAGTCAAGAATTTTCTTTGGGCACAAACACTTCTGACTGTGTATTTTCATTGTGAACAGCAACTTTCATACCAATTCATAACTCTTTATTTTCTTCACTATTGACATCAATATTGGCTTTGATAGCTGTATACTTTTGCTGTTTCAATGTGGGCTGTTCTGATGATCTCAAAGTTAATTTAGAGAAATTAACACTGGGCAGGGTGTTGTGGCTCATGCCTGTAATCCCAGCACTCTGGGAGGTGGAAGACGGTGGACTGCCTGAACTCAGGAGTTTGAGATCAGCCTAAGTGAGAGCAAGACCCCATCTCTACTAAAAATAGAAAAGCTAGCCAGGAGTTACAGCAGGTGTCTGTAGTCCCAGCTACTCAGGAGGCTGAGGCAGGAAGATCATTTGAGCCCAAGAGTTTGAGGTTGCTGTGAGCTATGATGCCACATCACCTACAGAGGGTGATGAAGTGAGACTCTGTCTCAAGAAAAAATAAGTTATATAAAAATTGCCAGATTTTCCACCTATAGGTTGAATAACAACTCTTGTCACTATTCTCAGGAAGTGAGCAGGCAGCCATGAAGACAGGTACAAAGTGCCACTCTAAACTGCCACCAACGCCCCTTCTGCCCAACAGCAATTGACCATAAACAAGCTCCTTAGTTCAAATCAGCTGACAACTTACCAATTCTCATAATTCAAAATTAAAATAGAAAAAAAATGAGATAATATATGAGAAAACATATTCAGTGTCTAGAAATGACATTTACATAAATATGCAGCTATGCTGGTGACATTATTCAGACTTTCTGGTTATGTTATGGGTATTTCACAGACTTCAACCTTAACTAATTAATACCCTGTAGGCTCTAAAACACAGATCAGTTCGTGTCTGTGTTGTGCCATACTGTCACGCAGCCCCATGCGCTGAGTGTCAGCGCCACCGGAAGTTATCGACACTTCACTGACCTACCTGGTAAAAGCTGCAGCGACCCGTCAGCAGTCAGCAGCGTGATGGGCAGCCATCTTTCCAGTCCTTCTAATGCACGATCCAAACAGAATTTGTGCAAGTCAGACAGAGAGGCAAAGTTTTCAAGTCTTCTCAGTTCATAGAACTGGGGGGGTGCCAGCCAAATTTCTTTTGATATGAAACGTTCAGTTGCCTCTGATGGAGATAACCACTGTGAAAGACAACATAGGGCTTCCTAAGGTTTATGCCACAGACAACGGAAGATTTGAGATTGTTAGATAAGTACCCTAAGATCTAAATCGAAGATGTGAAATTAATTCATTCATTTTCACCGGTAGAGACCTCTGAGACAACATAAAAGATCTGGTGAAGATAGCTGGATTTGCCCAGTCAGGTTGATGTGGTGGGTTCGAAACCTGCCCGGGGCCAGCTAAACAACAATGACAACTGCAACAAAAGATAGCCAGGCATTGTGGCGGGTGCCTGTAGTCCCAGCTACTTGGGAGGCTGAGACAAGAGAATCGCTAACCAAAGAGTTTGAGGTTGCTGTGAGCTGTGACACCACAGCACTCTACCGAGGGCAACATAATGAAACTCTGTCAAAAAAAAAAAAAAGAAAAGAAAAAGCTGAATGGTTCCCCTTAAGAAATTGATTACCAGAACACTGATCCTGGAAACTAGCAAATAAATCTGACAGACCACAAAGGTTTGACCTGGGAGAATTGCTGAGGGCAAAGTGATTCTGGTCACTCCCGAAGGAAGACTCTGAAGGGTAGAATCATCACCATAGATTGAGAATTTTGTGCTTGTTCTCTCCTCCCATAAAGGGGAACCTTGTTTGGTACAGTGACTCATATTTATAATGCCAGCATTCTGGGAGGCTAAGGCAGAAAGATCGCTTGACGCCAGAAGTTTGAAAACAGCCTAGACCACATAGTGAGATCCTGTCACTACGAAAAATTTAAGTATCAGTGGTGCATGGTGGCATGCATCTGTAGTCCCAAATACTAGGGAGGCAAAGGTGGGAGGATCACTCGAACCCATGAGCTTGATGGAGGCTACAGTGAGCTATGATCGCGGCATTGCACACCAGCCTAGATGTCAGAGCAAGACCCTGTCTCAAAAAAATAAGATAAAACGAAACAAATGGAGCACCTTGGCTAGGTACTGAGGATACGATGGACACAACAAAGCTCTCTGAGGTCCAATGAGAAGTATAACAACCAATATACACTGTGATGTGTGCCACGAGTGACAATGCAGGTGAGGAATTAGGAGCAATACAGCTTTAAGGAAGGTCAGCAGGCACGACTCAGCCTACAGTCTAGGAAGTGTAATAACGCCTAGACTGTAATAACTCCTGTGTAATAACACTTTCAACCAAGCAATGTCTTCCTGTTAAACTTAAACGACCTCACTGCTGCAACCTGCTGTCCTTCCCTAGCCTGCTCTCCAAAGACATTTAGATAAAAAGAATTGATTCAATAAATATGGAATGAACCAAAGGTCTTTCTTTACTGGGTTTACTAAATATCCACTTACACGAGGGGTAACTGATTCTTCTGTCCCTATTGAATGGAACAAGGGAACAGTACAGAAAACCTGATCTGAAAGACGCTACCAAACAGTTGAACCCAATTTGACATTTTTACAAACGTATCATCCAACGGCAGAATATATATTCTTTATAGGTGCAAAGGGAATATTTGCCAAGAGTATATTCGTGACCATAAAACAAGACTCAATAAACTTAAAAAGACCAAAATCATATAAAGTATGTTCGCCAAGAAACCAAGTTAAAAAGCTATGAAGGCCGGGCGCGGTGGCTCATGTCTGTAATCCCTGCACTCTGGGAAGACTGCTTGAGCAAGGGGAAGGCCCCTTCTCTACAAAAATAAAAAGAAGTAGCCCGACATCGTGGCCCCCACCTGTAGTCTCAGCCACCCCGGAGCCTGAGGCAGAAGAATCGCTTCAGCCTAGGAGTTTGAGGTCAGTATGAGCTATGACACCAGGTTACTCTACCCAGGGTGACAGAATTAGACTTCGTCTTAAAAAAAGGCTGTTGATTGCCCTGTTGGAAATTAGCCGGGCATCATGAAGGGCGCCTGTAGTTCCAGCTACTCGGGAGACTGAGAGCGGAGGATCATTTGAACCCAGGAGTTTAAGGTTGCTGCGAGCTGTGATACACTACGGCACCCTAGTCTGGGTCAACAGAGTGAGATTCTGTCTCAAAAAAGAAAAATAAATAAGGCTGTGGAGACGAGATGCGTCTGCACATGCAAAGCGCTGTTCAGAGCCAGCTGTGACCCTCCCCGCAGTGGCCCTGCGGGGAGAACCGCCTGGGGACACAGAGTCGAGGTCCCGAGACTGAGAAGCCGAGGCTGCGGGAAGCCGAGAGCGCTTCCCCAAGGACATGGCTTTGGGCCCCCACTCGTTTGCTCCTGGGACCTCGGAGTCTTTCACTGGCTAACTGGAGGCCCCCGAGGGCCGTGGCCGCCGGCAGGGGTCCTTCTCCTGTCCCGGTGGTGGCTCCCACCGCCCCGCGCGAGGGCGCCCTACCTGGCAGCCCACCACCTCGGCCAGGTCGGGGTGGACGGACGGCGGCTCGCGCAGGCAGCACAGGAAGAAGGTCGTGTTGAAGCGGCGAGTGGCGCCGCGGTAGAAGGGCGTCAGCCAGGCGCTCCAGTCGTGCAGCGCCCAGATGTCGGGCGTGCAGTCCAGGTGCGCGCACAGGCGCAGAAAGTGGTGCGGGTCGCGCCGGACGCGGTCCCGCCAGTCGGCCAGGCCCGGCGGCAGCGCGAGGGCGCGGCGGGGCTCCGGCGCGGACAAGGCGCCGCGGGGCCGCAGCAGCAGCACGCCGGCCTCCTCGAAGGCCTCGCGGATGGCGCAGATGCGGAAGGCCACGTCATCGGGCAGCGCCCCCGCGTCGCCGTTGGCCGCGTCAGGCAGCACCGGGAAGGCTGCGCGCCGGGGCGGCGCTGGGCCCAGGCCGAAGCGCGGCGGCCCCTGGTGCGGGGCGAAGAGGCGCAGCCAGTCGGCGGAGCGGTCCGCCGCGTCCAGCACGCCGCCCGGGAAGACGTGCGCGCCGGGCATGAAGCCCTGGTTCGGCGAGCGCTGCAGCAGCAGCAGCCGGAAGCCCTCGGCCGACGACGGGGCGGCTGCGCTCGGGCGCGTCCCGCCCGCCGCCAGCACCAGGGTGGCCGCCAGGCGCCAGCTGCTCGGGCCCGACCGCAGCGGGCCATTCATGGCGGGCGGCGGCGCGCGGCCTCTTGTCTCGGCTTCTGGCGCGGCGGGAGCTCCTGAGCCGATGGTGGGGCCGCGCACAGACCCCAGCACCCTCAGTTGGCCTCCCTGGAGACGAGCGCCTGGCCCTCCGAGGATCTGGGCAGTGTCGCCTGCACCGGCCGGTGGGAGGGGCGCGGCACTCGCCTGAGCAGGCGCCTCCTCGGGTGCCCTTAAGCCCAGCCCAGGTCACTTTCAGTCGACCCGGGTTGTCACAGCGGCCAGCAAGCGATTGTTATTCCCAGCTTACTGAAGGAAGGCTGCGTTATCCCCTCGCTGGACTCTTGGACGCAGAGCAGGAATGCTTAGGGCTCGCATGACCAGCCATAGTAAATATGGGATGCAAAGCCAGGCCTGATGACATTTGTCCCTCTACAGCCCGACGACTAGGACTTTATCCCTTAAAGGAGGGTCCACATGGAGGCGTGTTTCCTTTGGGAGAAGAGAGAGGACGTTCAAGGACCGGTGTCCGAGCTTTGCAAACTCACACGAGCCTTGCCAATGGGAAACGAAGGGATTATCCAGATGTCGAATTACCAGTTTCCTGATGCACTGCCTGAACGTGAAAGAGCCTTCCAGAATCCCTGCCCTCTAGAGTAATGTTAGTATTATGGTTCTGGTTACCTTTTATGTCAGGACACCTGGGGACCTGGATGGGTTTCACTTTGATGGGAAATATTTAAACCAAGCTGTTTCTCTCCACTCCATCTGTTTTTCTTTTTGTAGAGACAGAGTCTCACTTTGTTGCCCTAGGTAGAGTGCCGTGGCGTCACCCAGCTCACAGCAACCTTCAACTCCTGGGCATCAGTGATTCTCTTGCCTCAGGCTTCCGCGTAGCTGGAGCCCGCCACAACGCCTGGCTATTTTTTGGTTGCAGTTTGGCTGGGGCCCCACTCCATCTTTTTAGTGGCTAGAAGACTCCCACCTCCAAGAGCAGTATTGTGATCTTTTAGAAAGGGCCTGTTTAAATCTGAGTCTTTTCTTTTACCAACTCCTTGCGGGTGGCTAACAGCTTCTCCGGTAATTGCTGATGTAATCGATCACACATTCCTCATGTTTTTGGATGAGATACACAACGTTCTTTATTTTAATTTTTATTTTTTCTCTAAGCACCAACAAATTCTAGAGATACACAATATTCTATACTGCTAAGCCTAATTTACAAACCGTTTTAATATGGGTTATTCCCCCGGGAGAATCCACAGGTGGCACTGGCAATATTTGGGTTGATGGGTGGATTTTCAGTGACAGGGTCTCAGTATGTTGCATGAAGTGCAGTGGCTGTTCACAGGCACGATCACGGCACATCACAGCCTCAAACTCCTGGCCTTCCAAATAGGAATCCTCCCTCCTCAGCCTTCCAAATAGCTAGGACTACAATACCCTGCCACAGTGAACCATGTAGGTTGATTTTTTAAAATCTTTTCTCTGTCTTTTTTTTAGCATCATTTTCTAAAGGTGCAAATGCTTGTGACTGTATCCCCAGAAACAAAATGGGGCCACATGTTGAGAAAAATCACACAGAGGAGCCAAGGGGAAGGCACATGTCCTGGGAGGGTCTGTCAACTTCTATCCACCTTGAGTCTCTAAAGAATTCACAGTTTGGGACCCTTCCCAAATTGTTTCTCTGAGCTCTGAAACATGAAATCCTCTGCCTTTCTGAAAATTTTGTAGAGTTAGAGTGATACTATTGAGCCTTTATTTTTACAATCCCCTGCCCTCCAGGTGTTTCCAGTACCATGCACCATGGGAAGCCATGAAAGGTGGGGACACAGTCAAGTTCACGTCTTCAGAGTTCACCTTGACAGCAGTATAGTGATTCCATTGGATGGGCCTGGACTGGAGGCCCATACAGTACGTTAAGCAAGAAATAATGAGGGCTTGAGTGGAGAGTGGCTGTGGAGGGGCTGTGGGTGGGAGAAAGGAATGGTTTAGAGAGTATTTAGGGGATAGGCTCAATCCAGTGTGGTAATTAGTAACAATGTAGAGCAAAGGAGAGGAAGAAGTTAAGTCTGGGAGCGTTGAAGTAACATTTCTTCAATCCTAGAAGCAATAATATTAATACTAAGCACCTTGTATGAAGCACTAGGAACTTTAGAAATACAGTATTAGTTGTATAATCCTTGCAAAAGAGGAAACAGTTATTTTACAGGTGACTAACCTAACAATTTATGGAGGGATTAAGAATCTTAAGAAAGGACACACTATTCCCTTCACTGTAAAATAACACTGTGGTTTTATAAGGCTCGTTTTGAGAACTGGTTTTTCCAGAAGCTGGTTAATCTGGAGATGTCCAAGTCCCGGAGTGCATAACAAAGCGACAGAAACTGGATCTCAACAAAGAGCAATCCTTCAAACCTGTACACAGCCATGTCTGTCGTACTCAGGGGGCTCTGTGTTGATGCAATACCAGTTTATGGACGGATCCAGAGGGCACATTATACAATCTCAGCTATCCAAACTGTAGCTCGGCACCAGAACATAAAAGACATACAAGGGCCAGGAGAGGCGGCTCACACCTGCAATCTCAGCACTCTGGAAGGGTGAGGGGGTAGATCACTTGAGTTCAGGAGTTTGAGAGCAGCCTGAGCAAGAGCAAGACCCCATCTCTACTAAATATAGGGAAAAAAAATTAGCCAAGCATTGTGGTGGATGCCTGTAGTCCCAGCTACTCAGGAGGATGAGGCAAGAGGATCTCTTGAGCCCAAGAGTTTGAGGTTGCTATAAGCTGTGATGCCACAGCACTCCACCCACAGTGACAGAGTGAGACTCTGTAGATAAAAGAATAACATAAAATATATTCAGCTCTACTGTGCCCTGCTCAGAGGGCAAATTGTGTAGGTATTACTTAACTATCACAGTTAACAAAGTACTTCAAAACATGGCTTCAAACAATAAACAGTATCTCACAGTTTCTGTCAATCACGAATTCAAAAGCATCTTGGTGTGGTGGTCCTGACTCGGTATCCCCCATGAGGTTGCAGTCAGCATGTCACACAGGGCTTGCTGCGTTCAAGTCACACAACTGCTGGGAGGAAGCCTCAGGTCCCTACCACAGGGGTCTTCCTGTAAGCCTGCTTGGATGTCTTCAGGACTTGCTAGTTAACATCCCTCACAGAGAATGATTCATGAAAGAAGAAGGAAGAAACCATGATCCCTTTGATGAGTTAGCTTCAAATGTCACCCTCTGTCACTTCAGCAGCATCCTGCTTTTACACTAGTTAGGTCTGTTCAACATGAGAGGGAGCAAATGCCAGGAGACGGGACTCAGTGGCTCCCACCGTGGGCAAAAAACGGAGCCATGTAAGCATTAGAAGAAAATAGGTAAATTTTTCCATAACCTGTGACTCAAAATCAAGGAGCAATAAAGGAAAAGACTGATTAATTTGATTCTCTTTCTCTCTATATAAAACTTTATTATGACAAAAACAGCATAAGCGAAGTCTTAAGATAAATAAGAAACTGGAAAACCTTTCTGTAATATTTGTCACTAAGGATCAGCCTTTAGGAATAATGGAGAAGAAAACCTATGGCTGTGTAGAAAAAAGAGGCAAAAGATGTGAAAAGATAGATTTTCCTAAGGTCACACAGCCTGCAAGTGTTGGAATCTGTGTCCAAACCTACCATCAGGTTTTAAGCGTCCTGCTGTTTTGCAGTGGCACGGTGCCAGCTGCCCCGAGCCTGACAGTGGTGTATAATACACCCCCAGCAGCTTGGCAATTATCCCAGGCCACTCAGCCACAAGAGAGTGGGTAGCCTTGTTTATGACAACAGTTGCTCATTTCATAGCTAAAGACATCTGACTTTTGGACAGCGCCTGTGGCTCAAAAGAGTAGGACGCCGGCCCCATATGCCAGAGGTGGTAGGTTCAAATCCAGCCCCGGCCAAAAAATGCCAAGAAAAAAAAAAAAAGACACCTGACTCTTCATTCTTCTTTTCTACTGGTCTTTCCTAGCTGTCTTTACCACAAGAAACAGTTTTATTTGATTTATTAGAACACATCGAATCCTTGGCTGGGCGTGGCAGTGCACACCTGTAATCAGAGCATGATGGGAGGCTGAGGCAGGCAGATGGCTTGAGCTTAGGAGTTGGGTCCAGCCTGAGCAAGAGCGAGATCCCATCTCTACTAAAAATAGAAAAGCTAGCCGGGCGTTATGGCAGGCACCTGTAGTCCCAGCTACTTGGGTGGCTGAGGCAAGAATATCTCTTGAGCCCAGGAGTTTGAAGTGGCTGTGAGCTGTGACACCAAGGCACTCTACCCGGGGTGACTAAATGAGACTCTTGTCTCCAAAAAAAAAAGAAATTCTGTAATCCTGAAGTCAAAAAAAACAAACAAAAAAACCCTTTCAAACATGTTATGCTACTGTTTAGCTCCCACGGGGCTTTATTTCACTCTCTAGTTCAGGCGTCCTCAAACTACGGCCCGCCTAGGATGTTTATCCGGCCCGCCAGGTGTTTTTGCTGCTGCTGCCTGTCCTGCTTAACAGCCGACTCATCCTGGGGCCCGCAGTCCAGCCCTCCAACAGTCTGAGGGACAGTGAACTGGCCCCCTGTTTAACAAGTTTGAGGACCCCTGCTCTAGTTCAACAAGCTCAAACTCATATCTGTTATTGGGTATTTCCACTTAAAAAAAAAAAAAAAAAAGGGCTGGGCGCAGTGGCTCATGCCTGTAATCCTCACACTCTGGGAAGCCGAGGCAGGTGGATTGCTTGAGCTCACAAATTTGAGACCAACCTGAGCAAAAGTGAGACCCCCATCTCTACTAAAAATAGAAACAGAGGCAAGAGGATCGCTTGAGCCCAGGAGTTGGAGGTTGCTGTGAGCTATGATGCCCAGCACTCTACCAAGGGGGACAGCTTGAGACTCTGTCTCAAAAAAAAGAAGAAGAAGAAAGAAAGAAAACAGAGAGAAGGATACAATGTGTCATACAGGGCCAGCTATGGAGAGAGGATTTGGCTTAGAGACTGACTAGTGTCAGGTGTGCTGGTTTAACCTGCATAAAAACCAAAGCATATCACTGGGGATAAATAGAATTCACTCATGAATGATCAGTAACATCCTGTGCTTCAACAATCTTGACCTAACAATTATTTCTCTGTTTTTTTGTTTTTTTGAGACAGAATCTCACTCTGTTGCCCTGGGTTGAGTGCCGAGGCGCTATCATAGCTTACAGCAACCTCAGAACTCCCTGGCTCATGAAATTCTCCTGCCTCAGGTGCCTACCACAATGCACATGAGTTTTTCCATTTTGTTTTAATTTAATTTAAGTTTTTTAAGACAGAGTCTCACTATGTCGCCCTCGGTAGAGTGCAATGGCGTCACAGCTCATAGCAACTTCAAACTCTTGTGTTCAAGTGAGTCATCTGCCTCAGCCTCGCAAGTAGCTGGGACTACAGGCACCCGCTACAATGCCTGGATACTTTTTTGGTTGTAGTTGTCGTTGTTTGGCAGGCGTGGGCTGGGTGTGTATGTGACCAACACCCTAGCTGCTGAGCTACAGGCACTAAGTCAAGTTTTAGGACTTTTAAAACAGCAGTTGCAGCTAACATATATTAAGCCCTGTACCCACAAAAGTGTTATCTCAGTATTCCCATGAAGTATACCCTCTCATTGATACTTTTCCCATAATAAAGAGAAGGAAATGGGCCCAGAGAGATTAAGAGTAAGATCTGACCTGAACTGAGTTGTGCCTTAT